GGGGTCCTGAGTGGGAGGGGCCCGGCGCGGGGAGGGGCTTGGGGTCCTGTGGGGGAGGGGCCTGGGGGAGGGGTCCTGAGGGGGAGGGCCCTTCCGCCCCTCCGACCTGCACGCAGACCGTGAGCAGGACGCTGTGGAAGTCCTGGGGGCTGCGGCGGAGGACGAAGGAGCCGGGCAGGGCCCCCGCGGCCTTGAGTTTGTGGATGGCGAAGTCCAGCCTGCGGGACGGAAGGGCGGGGACGGAGCTGTCGTGCGGGTCGGGACTGAACCCTGGTCCGGGACGGGCCGCACCCGCCCGGCGCTCACGTGATGGGCCCGCAGCAGCCCCACGCCGCCTCCTCCAGCAGCCGCGGCGGCGCCGCCTCCTTGCAGAAGAAGTGGTGCGGGTCGCAGGTGAGGCGGAAGTAGCCATCCACCAGGGCCACGAAGGACAGCGCCTCGGGCAGCCCCGGGAACTCGGCCTCCTGCGGGCGGTCAGGGCCGCGGTCAGGGCCCGGCCCGCGCCCCCGCGCCCGTCCCGGGGCTGGCCCGCGACCCACCAGCATCTGCTTGTCCGTCCTGGTGAGGGTCACCAGGCGGTGCTCGCCCGCCCCGGGCGCCTGCTTCACGCTGATGTCCACCACCTCCGGAAAGTCACAGAAGGGCTGGAAGTCCTGGGACGGGAAGGGCAGGGCCGGCGCTGTAGTCCCCTGCTCAGCGCCCCGCGGCTGGGCCCAGGCCACCCGCGCTTCGGCCACCGCCGTCATCCCTCCCGGCCCCGCCCACACCCTCCCGTCCTCACCAGGCCCCGCCCACGCCGCTCCCGCCCTCACCAGGCCCGGCCCACACCCTCCCGCCCTCACCAGGCCCCGTCCATACCACGCCCATCTTCACCAGGCCCCGCCCACACCGCTCTTGTCCTTACCAAGCCCCGCCCACACCGCTCCCGCCCTCACCAGGCCCCGCCCACACCCTCCCATCCTCGTCAGGCCCCGCCCATACCACGCGCATCCTTACCAGGCTCCGCCCACACTGCTCCCATCCTCACCAGGCCCCGCCCACACCGCTCCCGCCCTCACCAGGCCCCGTCCATACCACGCCCATCCTCACCAGGCCCCGCCCACACCGCTCCCGTCCTTACCAAGCCCCGTCCACACCGCTCCCGCCCTCACCAGACACCGCCCCAGTCCTCTTCAGGCCCGGTCCAGCCTGGGGAGCTCCGCCCAGCGCCTGGAGGTCCTGCCACTCACCTCCCAGAGACCCTCCCCTTCCCTGTTCTGCCTTCTTCCTGGACCTCCTGAGCCTCGGCCCCTCACGATCCCACCCATGAAGGACCCATCACCGCCCAACAACCCTCTGTGCTGTCCAACCCACTTTCGTTCCCACCCCCTTACTCCGCCCGCCCTCATTCGGCTTCCTCTGAGCCCCGCCCACTTTCGTTATGAGCGTTGGCCCAGCCCATTCACCACCCAGCTGTCTCCTGTCCTGCCCCTCTAGGGCCACGCCCCATCTGCAGGTCCCAAATCTGTGGGCCCGTCCACTCTTGGTCCTGTCTTCTTACTGGACACCCCTAATCTGTGGAGGCCCGCCCACCATCCAGTGCCCCCGCCCCTTTCGGGGTCAATCCTGTTTTGTTCCTGCTCCTCCTCAGCTTTCCGCAGCCCAGCTCTCAACCGGCCCTCCATGATCCTTCCCATGAAGGACCCATCACTGCTTTCTTCCAATCACACGCCCCCTATAGGGTCCCGCCCCTACATCGTCCTGCCCAATCGCTCGCTCCATTCCTTGAAGCTCCTCCACGCCCATTGGAGCCCCACCCGTCTCGGCCCCGCCCTCTTCCTGCGGCCCCGCCCCTCGCACCTCAGCCTCTCCCGCGCTCCAGGCGATGCCGCTGCCGCCGGCCACGCGCAGCAGCCCCGGCGCGCCCTGGTCCCCCGCGGGCCCCGGGAGCCCCACGCGGAAGGTCTCGGCGTGCCGGGCCGGGTCCAGCCGCTCCAGGTCCATGATGTACTTGGCCAGGAGCGAGTGCCGGTCGGCCTGGCTGGCGGCCACGCGGCGCAGCGCGCGGCGCACGGTCCTGCGGATGCGCTTGCGGGTGACGAAACTGAGGCCCTGGATGAGGCCGCGCAGGCCGGGCGGCAGGCAGGCCTTGTAGCTGCGGGAGATGAGGGCGGACCGACCGGGGGGCGCTGGGCGTGGGGCGGCGCGGGCCCCGCGTCCGGCCCCCGGTCCCGCACCCCGCGTCGCGGCCCCGCACCCCGCGTCCCGCCCGCGCCCCTCCCGGGCCCGGCCGCTCACCTCACCGTCCTCAGCAGCTCCCGGGGCCGCTGCGCCCGCTCGCGGCACAGCCGGGCCAGGTCCAGCACCGCCAGGCTGAGGCACTCCCCCTGGTCCCGGAGGCCCAGGCCGACGGCCAGGCGCCCGGCCACCAGGTCCCCGCGGTGCTGCGGACGGACGGACGGACACAGGCTCGCCGGGCCGCCGCCCCCCGCCCCGGGCCCGCCCCGACCCCCTGCACCCGCCGAGCCGCACCTGGGCGAAGAGGTGTTCCAGGACCCGCAAGTCGAAGACGGCGCCAGCCAGGTCCTTGCGCAGCCCAAACCGGTGGCATTTCTCCAGCCCGAACCAGTTGGGGAAATGGAAGCTGCCAGGGAAGGGGAGGAGAGCGGGGTCACGAACCCCTGGCCCCAGCAGGAACTGGGGTACAGGGCGGGCAGCAAGCCCAGCCGAGCAGATACTGTGTGTGCCGTGTGCGTGTGGCCTTGGGCAAGTGACCGACCCTCTCTGGGCTCAAGGACCTTATCTGTGAAGCCGGCACTGGCAATGCCCTGCAGAGAGAGGCTAGGGGGCCGCTCGAGCCCTGGGGACTCAGGGTGCTTCCTACCGCAGCCTGTAGACCAAGACTTGGGTGCCTGCGTCCTCCACGGAGAAGATGTGGCTTGGGGGGAACCAGTAGGAGAGGTCCTCAGTGGCCAGGGCAAAGAGTGGGTGATACACGGGCAGGATGCCTGTGGATGTGGGCCCGTCAGCCCCTCCTCGGGTGCCCCATCCACCCCTCAGCCGGGCTGCAGTGTCACCGTCCTCCCTCACCAGACTCGTACTCATCCCTCAAAGCCTCCCCCCTCCCACCCATTCTGATGCTGACTTCAGCAGGTAATTACCTGCTCTCCATCTGGGCCCCACACAGCCTTGCCCTTCCTTCTGGTCCGTCCCTCCAGGAACCCACTCACCGCTGGCCTTGGCAGCCTGCACACACAACTCCTCTGCAGATAGCTCCCCAAAGGAGAAGGAGAGGCGCTGAGGAGGCCCAGGGCCCAGAGCTGGGAGCAGCACATCCAAGGCCCCGGCCTCTGAGGAGGACAGGCTGCAGGAGCGCTGGGAGATGAGGGGGGTCTCCTCGCTCAGAGGCGCCATGAGGACAAGCCACCTGCGACACAGAGACATCGGTACTTGTCTGCACCCAGGGCAGACATCTCCAATCAATCTGCAGCCTCTTGTCTCCCCCAGCAGGCCCAGCCCATGACCCAACAGGCAGGAGCAGCAGATCACAGAGGTACAGCGGATCGTAGAGGTGCAGCAAGCTGGGGGTGCTGGCTTGTTTTGGGGCCCCAGGAAGGTGTTCTCAGGGAGCCTCCGGCTCATCCGAGGCTGTGGCAAATGCTTCTGTCAGGACTGGGGTCCTGATGACAGGCAGTAGGGGGCCCTCCCCACCCTTCATTCTGTTCTCACCCCAAAACAGAACACCTACCCAGAGTGGGGACTCTGTTCCTACAGGGCTGGGCAAGGGCCCCAGGCTCTGGGTTCAAGTCCCAGCCCCACCCTGAGGCCTGCAAGGTCCAGGTCGGAGCTTTCTGGCTGTGTGGTGCCCAGCCCCAAAGCAGGCACCAGGGCTACTCCGAACCTGCAAGGCTGGGGCCCCTGCCTGGAGGGGGGGTGTGGGGAAGCAGAGTCCCAGAGGGGCAGGGTGAGCCTGGGACAGCCTGAACAGAGCTCGCCGGGGCCCACCTGGACCCCAGGGCCAAGCTCCCGCGCTCCCTGACCTTTTCTTGCTGGTGCCTTCCCTTATCTGGCAAGCCTGGGGTTGGGACTCAAGGCCTCATTCTTGCTTATCTGTGCCCCACCACTTGAGCCCTGCCCCCTTTTGCCTCTGCATTATTCTAACAGGAGCTCACACATTTGCCCACAGGCCTCAAACCCTCCTGCCTACGATCCCCAGAGCTGGGATTACAGGTGTGCCCAACCACACTCAACCAGAAACCAGACACCCTTCAGAGAAATGGATGCTTGGTATTTATGCATTTAGAGCAACTTGTAAGCACTTTACTTTTTTTATTATTGAAAGTAAAAAAGGAAAGAAATAGGATTAGGCGATGGAGCCTAAAACATGTCTGTTTCTAAAACCCCCAAAGAGCTGGGCACAGGTGGCTCATGCCTATTGTCCTAGCTACTCAGGAGGCTGAGATCTGAGGATCGCAGTTCAAAGGCAGCCTGGGCAGGTAAGGCCGTGAGACTCTTAGCACCAGTGAGCCACCAAAAAATTGGAAGTGGCGCTGTGGCTGAAGTGGTAGAGCGCTCACCTTGAGCTGAAGAGCTGAGGGACAGCGCCCAGGCCCAGAGTTTGAGCCCCACAACTAACAAAAAATGAGATATAAAATCACACACACATGCACGCACACACAGCCCTATGTGGCTGGAGAGCTGCTCTGCGCCCCTCCCTCGGTGGACACAGCAGCTGGGCTGGGAATGGGGTTACCGGGTCTGCGGCACCCTGTGGGACCCGGGTTCCCCCCACGTGGCCAGGCCTCCTCCGGGTGGGCCTCGGAGGCCCTGTGGCCGTGGCTCTTCCAGGACCCCTGGCCAATCCCGCGGCTAGTCCCACTGGCCAGCCCCACCTGGCCCCAGCCCAGTCCTGCTCTTACCTGGCGGGTGGGCACAGTGATGGGGGCAGGAAGAGCAGGCGGCGATGGGAAGTCCCTGGCGCTTCCTGTGCGGCCCAGGCTTCCTGAGCTGCTGTCAGCCCGGAAGTCACAGGCAGGCAGGCCCGGGAGGGGCTGAGCCTTCTGGGGCCTCTGTGGGGGCCTCCAGCCCCGCTGCGGGCGACCCCGCGCGACCCCGGGCCGGCTGGCACAGCACTCGGGGCCTCAGTGTGCCCACATGTGGACAGCATGGTGTGAATTCTGCCACTAAGGAAGGGAGCTGTGCCCAAGCAAGTTCAAGGTCCCTTCGAGAAGTTTTCCTAGCCTGGGAAGCAGGTCTGGCCTGCTGTGATCGGGGGAAACAGAGGCCCAGCCAGGGAGACAGCAGAGAAAGGCCAGGCAAGGAGAGGGCGGGCTTGCAGCAGGACCAGTGGCTGGTGGGGCACAGTGGAGACAAAGGCTGGGGTGGGAGAGCAGGCTGTGTGTGTGGGGGGTAGGCAGGGCTCCCCGGGGAGGGGGTGCACCCCTGCAGGGTTGGCGGGTCTCTGTGGCTGAACTGCTGCCCCTGTCCCTGGATGCATGGGGCTGGTGGGGTGCAGGCCAGGGGTCAAGGCCTAGGCCACCATGCATGAGGACCAGTTTGGGGAAGGGCTTCCCAGAGGAGGTGGCCTTGGGAGTGCAACCCAAGGACAAGTGAGGATCAGGACTGGAGCGGAGGCCAGGCCGGGAGGCGGGGAGCTGGAAGATGGGGCTGACCCCATGGGGGGGGGCGGGGAGAGGGGTGTCAGGGACGCGTTGAGTCTCTTGACTCAAGGGGCCCAGCAGAGTCCACACAGATGGTCCTGGGTTGGGGCTTTGTGCGGGGAGAGTCTGTGGGTGCCCATTGTTGGGCAAGGCTGTGGCTGCAGCCGGCTGGGGGGGGGCGGTCCCCAGAGGCAGCTGGAAACGGATGGAAGTGGGTTTCTGTGCCCCAGCCCTGTTGCCACCCCCAGACTCATCTGCCAGCCCAGGGGGCCTGCTCAGACCGGCTTGAGCGACCCCTGCACGCTGCGCAGCTGGCTGAGGTGACCCATGAAGTGAGAGAGGAAATAAACCAAACCCACAGCTGGGCCCCCCCCCCCCGCACTTCCTGCTGCCACCCAGGGCCCAGGCTCCGCCCACAGGGGGCCTGGCCGGGCCACGCGGTGGCAGAGAAGAAAGCGCCCGCACCCACCCTTGGCTGTGGGTTCCAACGGCCTCCAGGACCCCGAGAGGGACAGGACTGGCCACCCAAGGCCATGACAAGGGACTGAGGCGGGTGCAGCGACACTGCCCACTGAGCGAAAGGTGGAACGCTCACAGAATACAGAGCGCTGAGGGAAACACTTGCTAACCTCGACGTAGGCTAAGATTTTCTAGAACTGAGGTCTCTTAGTCTTAAGAAAACTAACTATGAAAATGAAAACACTGGGCTCAGAGCCAGCAGCCGCTCACGCCTGCAATCCTAGCTGCTCAGGAGGCTGAGATTTGAGGATCGAGGTTCAAAGCCAGCCCGGGCAGAAACGACTATGAGATTCTTGTCTCCAGCGACACAGCAAAAAGCCAGAAGTCAAGCTGCGGCTCACGTGGTAGAGCGCTCCCCTCGAGCACAAAAGCTCAGGCCGGTGTCCAGGTCCTGAGTTCAAATCTCAGGAGTGGCACTCACATACAAAAGGCAAACAACTCAGTGAGAAGACAGACAAAGGAGTCACACAGACCTATCACGGACCGGCACCCAGGGGTGGCCCCAGGCATGAGGAGGGTGCCCCGCCCTCGCTAAGGTGGGGCTGGCCCACATCTGCCGCCCCTCCTGTGGCAAACCTCTCTTCGCAGACGGGGACCCAAGCTTCCACGGCCACGGGAGCCCTGCCAGCTGTCTGGGGAAGGCAAGTGAGCCTGTTGGGAAGGTCTGGGTAAGTAGAGGCAGAGGCAGGCGGGGCCTGGTGGCTTTGGCCTTGCAGGCTGGGAGGGCCCGTCTGCCCTGCAGGCTGCGGGCGATATGTGCCTGGAGGCTGCTGGGCAGGTGCAGCCCAGCCCGGAACCACAAGGAAGCCAGAGTTCAGGGAGCCAGCGGCAGCCCAGGGGGTGGCGTGGGGGGAGCAGACGGGACACAGGCTGGCCGCCAAGGTCAAGCTGGGACCGCCAGGGCCTGCTGGAAATCCGGGCAGCGGCCAGACCCAGCCTGCAGGGCTGGTTCCCCAGGACAGGGAGCGGCTGCTGCCCGGGGAAGCAGTGCCAAGTGAATGCTCACCCACACAGGGCCCCACTGGCCGCCACAGGGTCTCCACCCGCCCCAGCTGCAGGCCCCACCCAGGCCCAGCCTACTTCATGTCTTCATGTCCGTCTGGCCCCCGCCTCCTGCCCCTGTCCATGCAGTCCCACGGGCTCCCCGCTTCCTTCCTCCTGTCCCCTCCTAGCCCTGTCAGGATCAACTTACACTCTCCACTCTGCTCTGCATTTTTCAGAATCTCTTCCCATCCACTCAGCTACCGCGTGGTGGAAACAGGCACGGAGCTTTGAGCTCAGGCATGGGGAGCAAGCTGGGGCTGAGCCTGCCCTCACATTGCCTGTGGGGAAACAGGCCAAAGAAAACTTGGTTGGGTGTCAAGCCCCAGGGACCGAGGCCCAGGCTGCTCTTCTGGGTGGAAGACAAAGGAAAGTGCTTCCTCACCCCTGGCAGGTACCGTTGGACGCAGCCACCCACAGCCCGGCCCCCCCAGGGCCCAGGCCCACGGACACCAGGAAGGCAGCTCCCTGGGAAAGTGTTGGCCTCACACGCAGGAAGCCCTGGCTTCGAGTCCTCAATACCACAGACATAGGAGTCAGAAGTGGCGCTGTGGCTCCAGTGGTAGAGTGCTCGCCTTGGGCTGAAGAGCTGAGGGACAGCGCCTAGGCCCAGAGTTCAAGCCCCACCACCAACAAAAATAAATAACTGAAATAAATTGAGATTTCAGAGGTCTATCAACAGCTCATGCCGGTAATCCCAAATCCCAGCTACTCCTGAGGCTGCAGTTCAAAGCCAACTGGGGCAGGAAACGCTGTGAGACTGGCCTCCAAAAAACCAGCAGAAACCTGGCAGTGGAGCAGTTGCTCAAGTGGTAGAGTCCCACTTTGCGTGAAAGAGCTCAGGGCAGCGGCCAGGCCTGGCATTCAGGCGGGGACCGGCCCATGGAAGCTAAGAGGACTCGTGAGAGGCCCAGCTGGTCACTGACGTCTGGGAAGCAGAGGCAAGGTCGGTGTGCGGCCGGCCGGCCCTGACCCGGGGGCCTCTGGCCTCCGCCTCCCCAGCAGAGTGCAAGTCAATCCAGCCAGTATAACATTTATTTATTTATGTGTTTACTTATTGTCGGTCGTGGGGCTTGAACCCTGGGCCTGGGCCTTCCCTCAGCTCTTCAGCTCAAGGCTGGCTCCACCGCTGGAGCCACAGCGCCACTTCCGGCTTTCTGGTGGTTTATTGCGGTTAAGAGTCTCACGGGCACTTTCCTTCTTTTCTTGCCCGGGCTGGCTTCGAACCTCCATCGTCAGCGGCCTGAGTAGCTGGGATGACAGATGGGAGCCACCAGCGCCCGGCTCTGCGGCTCATTATTTCAAGATTACCAATTATCACCCCCCCCCCCCCCCCCGCCCTGGATCCTGGCCCGCATGCACCTCAGCTGACAGCTGAAGGGGTGTCAATCATCGCCGGCCCCGCCCCCAGGCTCCCCGGGGACCGGAAGCTGGCGGGTGGGCTCGGCTCTGGGTTGCTTCCAACCATGAGTGCGGCCCGGCGTCTGCCCGCCGGGATCCATCGGTGCCACGGCGAGAAACATTCTCGGCTCGATTTGCAGACAGGAGCCGTAGTGTGCGGCTGGAGGCCCCTGTGCGCACTCCCCACAGCCAGCAGCGTCATCACGAGCGCGTGGCGAGAAGATACGAGCGAGTGCCGGGCGCCCGTGGCTCCCGCCTGTCAGCCTAGCTACTCGGGAGGCTGAGACCTGAGGGTCGCGGTTCAAAGCCGGCCCCGGCAGGAGAGTCCATGAAACTGATCTCCAATAAATCACTCAGAAGACCGGAAGTGGCGCTGTGGCTCAAGTGGTAGAGCGCTCGCCAAGAGCTGAGGGACAGCGCCCAGGCCCAGAGTTCAAGACCCACAACCGACAAAAGAAAAAAGACACAGTCGAGTACGGCAGCCACCCAGCGTCTGGTGCCTTAAACATCTCGGGGAGGCTCTCGGGGGATCGGTACATAAGCGGGGCGACTACAACTCCCGACGTGCCTCACGCCTGGTGCCCCTCCATGGCCCAGGAGGAACTAGTGAGTCCTCCGCATTGCCTCTTGGGAGATGTAGTTTCGCTGCGAAGGGAGGTGCTGTGAGAGTGGGCAGACCCGGAACCAATAAAGAAAAAGTCTTCTTTGAATGCTGATCTAGAAAGCCAATGGGCGAGCGGGAGGGGAGGGCGGGACTTCCGCCCGCGAGCTGCTGGTGAACGGCTGCGCGGAAGAGGCCACTTCCTTTTGTGGGTGGCCGCGAGCGCGGAGAGGACGCCATGAAGGCCTCGGGCACGGTGAGCCGGGCGCGGCGGGGCCGGGGCGTTGGGGCGGGGGCCGGG